TGTAATTTACTGTAGAAGTTGTAAAAAAATTTTTTGAAGTGTATAAACATATGGATATTTCGAAGTATATGGTTTAAAAAATTTGAGAAGTTTTTTAAAATTATTATAGTTAAAATTATTAAAACACTTGTAGCAGATAAACTTGATAAAAAACTTGCTTAATATCTTCATATAACTGTGATTTTAGTGCATAATCTACGAAAATTTTCCTTTCCTATTCTATCTTTTGTCCCTGCTGACCTCGGGTCCTGACTGCCATTGTTCAACCTTCACTTTATTCAATTAGTACCCTCAAAATTAACTTCCAAGTTCCAGCAGGTGGAAAAATTTCTAAGATGGAATTTAGGTCCCCCACATTCAAAAGTTTATTACTACTACACACCCATAAATGTCATGCAATAATTTCACTCTGCTTCTATAGGCCCACCAAGTTCATTGAATTATTGTACTACTTCCCAGCGAGGAAAGTCACGATCAATTTCACTCTACTTTCTCCTCTAAGTAGTCCCATCTCCCTTGCTAAAAATCTTGCACTTGCAAAATAACTGGCCAAACAGTCCAATGCAAACTACATCTGATTAATTGTAATTCTCTAACTCGAGCAGTATGAACTAATCAACTCTGTACTAATATGAATGAAGAAACTTTTTCTTGTTGCGGTCAATTTTAAACAGCATATATAACTTTGCAATTAAGGCTAAAGATTAGACTGAAAAAAGAAATAGTGGGCATACTCAGTGTCTTGTCCATTAAATTTTTTTTGGTAAAATAAATATTTAAATGGTTTTAACGCTAATAACCACCACAACTCAAGACACGTCCCAAAATCATACATTTAGGGATGGCAATGGAACGAGTTTGAGGTGGAGGAATCCTCACTCGTCCCCCATCCCGACTAACCTCGTTACTCTCGCAGGTGCACCTGTCCTGCCCCAATACCATTTTTAGTTTTTATTTAGTCTTATTTTTTCTCTTTATATATATATATAATGCTAGTAATAATTTTATTGATCATTTTTTTTTAATTTTTAGCAAAAAATCCAGCAATCGCTGTGAAAAGTATGGATGTCAGCTTCTTTAAAGAAGCATCGATGTCCATGATGTTGAATTAGTGCTTATTGAGTTAGTTGTTGGAAAGGAACACAGCGAAATGACTCATTCTCTGAAAGCTTTCAATGGTTGAATGTTATCCATCAACTTCTGTTTCAGAACTCAGAACAATGTGATTCAAATTAGATAAGGCAAGCATTTGAGGATGAAATCCATAAGTTTGTTAGAGTTTTAGTTAACTGCATTTAATTTGATCCGAGAAAAGGTCATCCATGCTAAAAAGTGTACAAAATGTTGAGCTAAAGATGTGTCCTCGCAAATGATTCAGGACTGGTGGGAATTTGAATTTGGCTTTCCCAGCATGGGTGATTTTTCCTTTTGTTGATCTTCAGAACAGTGTTTCCATATCCACTAATTGGGATACTTATAACGTTTAGATATAAGAATACCATTTATAATACTTATAACAAGACATAATGGAAGCCCAATACTCCCCACGAACTACGGGCGCATGCACGAATTGATCTTTTAACTAGTGAACATAGATGGGTTAAGTGCACACAATTCCTTTATGTTTTGCAGGTAGTGGCATTTGAACACAGAAAATCAACATATTTTAGGGTTTGTTTGCTTGGATGTAAAATCTTTTCATGGGAAAAATATTTTCATTGAAAATCATTTTCGGTTGAACATTTGTTTTTTTTTATAATTATTTTCAGATCTTTGATTCCCTTCCTGAAAATTTTGGCTTCATATATTACGCACTTTTCTCTTCAACTTGTACCGATCTTCCACTCTATTTTACCACTGCTTCCCACGTACCCAACTCCCATTACACAACTAGTATTTTGACCAATGCTAAGCACGAATTTATATTTAATACAATAATAATAATAATAATAATAAATAAATTATTTTTTATTAATTACACGAAAAAAAAAGTTAAGAAATAAAAAAAGTGCTACTTTTGTATCTAATTTTTATTGTATTTATGTACATTGTCTAAAACTTTAAAGTATATTAAAAAATATGAACAAAGATCACAAAAATACCTAAAGAAATATTAAAAGTGCATCAAACACAACATTATTAACCCCCCCCCTCCCCCCTCCATGTTCTTCCTCTTTGTGCCACTTTCTCTTAACATTCCACTACTCTTCATTACCCTCTTTCTTACCTTCTTAATTCAAACTTCCCACATTCCTCCAACTTTTTTCCCTCCCACAAACCCTACCTTCCCTTCACCCTACTCTGCTTTTTTCAAATTGCGCAATCTCTTACTAATTTCGTAATCTATTTACTGCCATCCTATTGTTCTTTCCACCCATTTATAGTTATAAATAGTGGCCAATTTTGCAACTTGTTCTTGAACAAATGAGTTTGGGTATGCCGTCTACTTAGGTTCAAATGGATAACCTAATGACACCCATTAATTAGTGACTATTAAATGGAAGGAATGGGATCACTTATTTAGAGCTAATTAAATTAGACGTAGATTCAAATTCAATCGTTGGTAAGTAAATTTAAATCACTACCAAATCAATAAATATACTCTACTTTTTGCAAAGGCATATTTAATGTTCTTTTCCTATTCTTTAATTTTCATTATTTTAATTTTTGTTAAATTTCATCCTACTTCCTCCTCCCTTCCATCAAAGTTTTAATGAACTCCTTGAGTGTTAATTGATTTGTAACATTCACACCTAAATTATTTTTAGATTCTTATAGAGTGATAAAATTTGAAACTCCTTATGATCACCACTATTGATTCTTCCATGTAATTTGAGAATTTTGGCAAAGTAAAAAATGAAAAAGTTCCTGAGCCATATTTGAGAAATTTCAACTTACTAGGTTAATAATTATAAATGCTGCTCTTACGAGAGAATCATAGAATGATTCAACAAAAACATTTCAACTTAAGTGTGTTTCGATAGCCATTATTTGGCTTCAAATTATTTGTTTGCATCACAAACATAATTTTCAAAACACCTTTTTATCTTTCCAATCAATTTTTTATCTCACATACATTACATCACAAAAAGTGCTACAGTAATTATTCCAAATAATATTTCAAATAATCCCCTATCCAATAAGAAAAAAATCATATATTCAATAATTTTCAGCGCGATCATATGGTTGTAACTACAAATAACCTACCATGAAAATACCTATTTTTAGCTTCATTTCATCATGTGAATTTCTTGTGATTTCATTTTAGCATCCTTATTTTTTAATTAAAATAATCTTGTGAAAAAGCTTCCTGTATAAGCAAAAACAAAAGAAGAATACACAATGGCAAATTTTAGTTCATAGTTAGCTTCCATGTTCGTGAAAAATTTTCTAGGATGGAATCTAAATTGTGTCCCCCATGTTCAAAGTTTATTACTACACAACCAAAAAAGTCATGCAGTTATTTCACTCTACTTTCTTATGCCATTGCTTGGAAAAATGTAATCTATAGGTCCACCACATTCAATAATTGTACTACTACACTGCTAGGAAACTCACAAGCAATTTCGCAAGTCTACTTTCTTATCAATAACAGTACCACTACTTTGTCTTCGTTAATAGACCATCTCCATTGCCAAAAAAACCTTGCATACACAAATGATCAATTTCAAACTCTCCATAAAACAAATAAAAAAGAAAAAAGTCATTTACTTTGGGAATGGAAAAAAATTAAAAATGTTCCTGCATCATATTCGAGAAATTTCTACCGATAAATAGGAGTAAATGCGGCTCTTAGAGGGAATCATAGAATGATTGAACAAAAACACAATGGAAGTTATTTCACTCCCAAATAAGGTATTTCACGTCTTCAACAATTTTCAATGGGATCATATGGTTGTAACTACAAATAGCCTACTATAAAAATGATATTGAAGATGGCATTCAAAAACTTTGACCCCGATTGTGATATTTCGCAGAAAAATTTTTATGTTTTTCACGAACATATTTTTCAATTACTTTTTTACCTCACATACATCAAACTGTTACAATATACCTTTTTTTTTTTTTTGCAGAAACTTTTAAAATAGCAATCCAAACGGGCTAGATTTTACTACTTGTGCTGACTCATCTTGACAATTATTGGGTCATAAACAATTGCAATCTAGTGCCAAAATTTTAATCTTCTCAACCATTTCAAGATCGCAAGAAAATGCCCCGAATTCTATATTACTTGTATGATTTTTGAGTATGGGTTAATTTAACATGTCCTGGAAGTTATTTTAACATCTCCATCTTTAACTTCATTTCATCTTGCGGGTTTCTCATAATTTTATTTTAGTGTCTTTATTTTCGACTTAAAATAATCTTGCGAAAAAAAAGCTACTGTACAAGCAAAAACAAAAGAAGCATGGTAATTATCAAACCTTTCTTTTTCAATTGGTACATTTAAAGTTTAACTTGCAAGTTCCAACCGGTAAGATGAAATCTTAATTTAGGTCCCCCATATTCAGAAGTTAGGTCATGCAATAATTTGAGCATGCCTCTATAGGTCCAGCACGTTGAGTGATTGTTCTACTATCCAACCAGGAAAGTCACGGCCAATTTCACCCCACTTTCTTATCAATTACGGTACTGCTCCTGCTTTCTCCTCTATATGATACTCCATCTTCCTAGCTAAAAGCCTTGCACATACTGCATAATTGTTTTAATTTTGATTCAAATTATCATCTTCCTCGCCCGTGTTCTCTTTTTCATCAAACTTGGATTTGACAGGGTAGGTTCACGATAAACAGGCAATTTTCCCATATTCATCAGATCAGCTATTGCCAGAGTAAGTGCTGAGATTTGTTTACTTTTCTTGAAGTTCAAGGCTTTTTTTTTTTCTTTTTTATAAACATAGCCTCACCATATAAGGGAATATCTGCAGATTCAACGGATCAACCGTTGCCGGAGTGATCATTCTCTCCAAAGTGAGTGCTGAATTTCTTTTTCTTTTTTTTTTTCATACACATATTTTGGTTGAAATATAAATGGCTTCCATGTGTTTATGACATTCATTCTACTAGCATACTTTCATATGTTGGCGACTAGCTTCCAAGGCTAGAATTTTTGCTTCCTGCTATTCTTGAAACTAATAAGAAGGGTAAGACACTCAAAATTGTACAGTGCAAATGTGCAATATGCATCCCCTGTTCAAAACTCTATTACTAGACAACCCTGAAAGGTCATGCAGTTATTTTTTCATTCTACTTTATTATGCCATTGCTTGGAAAAATTCTAATCTATAGGTCCACCACATTCAATAATTGTACTGCTACAAGGCTAGGAAACTCATGACCAATTTCACAGATCTACTTTCTTATCAACAACAATACTACTCCTTTCTCCTCAATAATGGATCATCTCCATTGCCAAAAAGCCTTGCATATACGAACAGTTTCTACATTTTTTTCTTAAACTTTACTTTTGAGTAATTAAGTAGCTTCGCGATATACTAGCAATTTTCCCAAATTCAATAGATCAGCTACTCCCAGTGGTTTCTTTCTTTCTTTTATTTTACTCTCAAGTAAGTGCTTAATTTTGTTTTTTTTTTTCCCTCAAACTTAAAGGAATTTTTATTTTTTCTATTTTTTTCGACGTAGCCTCGCCAGTATAAAGGGAATTTCTGCAAATCCAACAGATCAGCTTTTGCCAGAGTGTTTATTCTCTCCAAAGTAAGTGCTGAATTTCTTTTTTATTATTATTATTATACACATTTTTGGTTGAAATATATATATCTGGCTTCCATGTGCTTTTGACATTTATTCTTCTGCTACTATGTACTTTTATATGTTGCCGAGTAGCTTCCAGGACTGGGAATTAGCTTCCTGTTGTTCTTGGTAGTATATCATACTAGTTTGGATGCACGTGCTTTGCACATTACCCGTGTTCGGTGATAATTTTCTTATATTGCGTGGTTTTTTAAATTATTTTTTTAATGCTAGGTAAGTTTTAGAATGAAAGCTTTTCCTTTTTTCTCCGTTATGGGCATATAGATGAATAATCTATCTTTTGGAAGGGAATGATTGGAGTAGGAAATTCTAGGTTGACATGCTTTCTAATAATATTCATGGATAAGTTTTTATGCATAACATTTTTAAACTTGTATTTTTTACATGAATTTTCTACTGTAGTTTTTAAAGAGTAATTTGTGTATGTAAGACATTTTGTGTCAGTCTCATACCTTATCTTAGTGACAGTGCTTTTTGTCTTTCAAGAGTTTCCTTTCTGCAATTAATCATGAAAATTTGATAGAGTCATAATTCATGACATTTTCTTAGATCAGAAACTTGAAATGAGAAACCAAAAAAGAAAAATTAACAGTCCTTGAAAAGAAAATGAGAAGTGAAATAGGGACACTAATTATCCTAAAGTTTAGGATAATGATATAATGATAATGTTAGAATACTTCAAAATTCCACTATACTATCTTTTTCGTATCGATTGACCCACTAAACTTTTAAAGCTAATTAATTGAACCATTCCGTGTAGTTAGTGGTTAAAAAAAATGAGTGGGGAAAATCAAATACACAATTATGTAAAGTCAAATTTTTACTATCTCACCTTTTTTGTTTTATACTTTCTCCCTTCTCTGCACGCTTTTCAACCACAAACTATTAGGACCAGGATTCATAATGTTACTGTCTTACCTTGAAACATTCAAAATTTTAAAAATCTGCATGAACACCTATCACAACTAAAAGAGGATGGTACTGGTTAGTAAAAAAAGTAAAAGTCAAATCGCAAGTAACTTATCAGTTATGACTTTCAATTCTTTTAGTTGGCCTGATTTAAAATTGTAAATCATCGTGGCACATTAACAAAAAATTACACAAATTACAGTAGTTAAAACACACACACACATACACAAAAAGGCATATATTACACTTTTTCGTCCATCATTTATTTACTTTTGCAAGAGGGTGCAAAAGTAAATCATACGAAAGGTCCTGAAGGGTGAAGACCCGACGGACAGCAAAGTCTTTCTAATAGTTTCCACGAATTTGCATTTTAGCTTCATTTGCAGACAGGGTAGTCGTTGTCTGGCTTCTTCTTTTTAATTTCCATCATTTTGCTTTAGGGTGTTCTTTCCTTCTTGACAATTAATACTTCATTTCCCTACAGTTTCTTTCTTCTGAGGAACCACTATCGTGGATCATGGGTTAAGAAGCAACACAGTATCACTATAAGTAACTAAAAGAGTACAAAAGAGGGAGAGAACACAAAACCCTATAAAATAATTCCAAGGTCCAAATGTATCTAAAACTAAAAACACTTGAGATCTTTTTTTTTTTTTTTTTGGAAGCATAACACTCGAGATTTTAAAGAAGCACACAAATGTCTTATAAAATCAATATTCCTAAAGTTTAGGATAATGTTAGAATACTTCAGAATTTTGCTGTACCATCTTTTTCGTATGGATTGACCCACTAAAATTTTAAAGCTATTTAATTGAACCATTCCATCTAGTTAGTGGTTAAAAAGCTGGGAACTTATAAAACACGAGCAGCACATTGCAATTAGTGGGGAACTTTTGTAACTTCGTTAATGAAAAATAGTATGGCAGACTAAACAGGACTTTAGGAAAATTAAGTGAATTTGATGCTACTTGTTGGCAAACTTCTTGGAAACTGAAGAAGAATGGAAAAGAGAAATATCTTAGAAAAAGTTAAACACAACTAATGCTCACATTCTTAAATCTTTTGGGCTAGTATTAAAAATACTTTAGTAGGAGATTTTTCCTGTTTTTCCTACTAACTTTAATCACATGCCAAATAAAAATGTTGTTGCTTTTTAAAGAACATACCATTGCAGGTGAAAAGTACTGCCACAAACTCCATTTGTCAAGTGACAAGATCATTACTTCAGAAAAGGCTATGCTGATTTTTGCCTCTATCTTCCGCACTTTTCAGAAAGAAAAAAAAAAGAGCATAATCATTTATACGAGTTAATAGTGACAGCAAAAAAAAAGAGTATATCCCTTTAAAGGATAAACCAAAAAAAGGGTAGAATCACTTATTTGTGCTTTATGATTATCCTATTTGAACTACTGCTCTATTTTTTTTTCTTTTTTTTTTTACACTTTTCTTGTTTTTCCTTTTGACAATGCAGTTCTTGATAATCCCTAAAATACTATCCTCTTCCGGTTTGTCTTATTTTTCTCACAGTATTTTTTTCTAGTTTCTGGTTGCTTTTAAGAAATAAAGATATGGATTAGAATTTTATTAATGTCCTTGAAATCACAAATGCACTCAAAAATTTGTGGAACTTATCATCTTATAAATATTGGTACTACTAAAAACTGCTTAGACTATATATATTTAGAAAATAATGGCCAACAATATTAAATTATTAAAGTGTACCCCTAAAAAAAGTAAAAAAATGACAAGATATCTTTCTCACACGACTATAACAATTCTTTTTGTAGGAATGGTATCAAGATGACAAACACTTACCGAAAAGAATATGGTTTTAGTTGTCATGGGATTCAAGTAACTCGAGTAATTGACTCTCAAGTTATAACTAGCAACAAATTTCACCGGTAAATTTTAAATATTTAACTAAGGTAACTGTTTTGATATAGGAATTTGAAAAAAATAAAAGGTAATAACTCAATCAATTGAACTACTGCTTTTTAGCCTATCACTCCAAAATATATTCAGGAAAAGCCAATAAAAGAATTCCTTTTATTTTTTTTTTTTGTTGGGATTGCATGGATAGAATATTACTTAGAAAAACTTTTGTATAATTCACTGTAGCATGTTTTGTAGTATAATGTATTTAAGATAAATAAGTAATTGTAAAACATGTTTAAGAGCAATTAAAAAAATAAATATTCTTTTAGAGTCATCACAATGATACGTAACACAACTGTCCCACAAATTAGACATCATTGCATGAGTAAATCAGTAAAGGACAGATTCACATGTGAATATTGTCTGGAAGTGTGTAAGTTTAGCCCCACACCTTTTATATTAACAGATCTGAACGCGGTTTGATTTGTTGACCAATAGTACTGAATCGCCCATTATTAAACTTCATCATATTACGAACCGATGACCAACTCTAATTTCTTCCTTTTCTGTACAAGGTCAAGGAGCCTCTCTTCCTTTCCTGATATTCTCAAGTTAAAGAAAAGGACTGAAAATGGCAGAAACAGTTCTCGCTTTTGTGTTAGATCAGCTCTCAATTTTTCTGCGTGAAGAGGGCAGATTATTGGGAGGGCTTCGCCAAGAGGTTCAACTCATCAGCGATGAGTTGGGGCACATGAGAGCTTTCCTGGGAGTGGCAGAAACAAAAGAAGAAGATGCTGATCTCAGGCTCCAAGAATGGATCAAGCAAGTACGAGAAGCAGCTTATGACACTGAAGATGTTCTTGATGAATTCGTAGCTCGCTTTGCTCGCCATTCAGTAACAGGGTTCCGTGGCTCTGTTCGGAGAATTTTCAACTCCATAAAGACTCTGCGAACTCGTCATAAGCTTGCTGTGCAAATGCAAAGCATGAAGGCCAGAATAAAGAATATTTCTGAAGGGCATCAGAGATACCAATTAGAATTCGGTGTTACTACTAAGGTATCTGGGTCTCCTGCTGCTGCTAACAACACAACATGGCGCTATAGCAGGGATGATGCACTTCTCGTGGAAGAAGCTGAACTAGTTGGCATTGACAACCCCAAACAACAGCTAATTTCTCAACTACTCGAGGGGGATGATTCCCAACTCAAAGTTGTTTCTGTGGTTGGCATGGGAGGACTCGGTAAAACTACCTTAGTGAAAAAAGTCCACGAAGATTTAGATATTAGAAGGCATTTCCCAGTTCGTGCCTTTGTAACTGTCTCTCAACCATGCAACTTCCAGGAGCTCCTGAAAGACTTGACTCGGCAGTTACACAATGATTTGAAGAAACCAGTTCCGGAATCGATTGAGGCAATGACTGCATTTCAGCTGAAACTATGTGTTAAAAATTTTCTTCAACAAGCTGGAAGGTATGCAATTGTGTTTGATGATGTATGGGATGTGGAATTCTGGAATGAGATTAGATTTGCACTGCCCGAAAATGGCTATGGCAATCGTGTCATGCTAACGACACGAAAAGCCGATGTAGCCTCTGCATCTTGCAACAAATCTCAAGATTATGTCTACAAAATGGTGCCCCTGTCTTTCGAGGATTCATGGACCCTATTTTGCAACAAGATCTTCAAAGGAAATGGTTGTCCTGCCCATCTAATAGATGTTGCAAAAGGTATACTGGGGAAATGTGAGGGATTGCCCCTTGCGATTCTTGCAATCAGTGGGCTTTGGGCTTTGAAAGACTTCAGTATTGCAGAGTGGGAGATGGTTCGACACAGCCTAGGAGGTGAATTAGAAGGCTCTGGTATGCTGGACCGGGTCAGAAAGATACTTTCTCTTAGTTACAATGATCTGCCCTGCCATCTTAAGACCTGTTTGTTGTATTTAAGCATTTACCCAGAGGATTATGAAATAGGTTGTCATAGACTTGTTCAATTATGGTCAGCTGAAAGATTTTTAGGAAAGAGAGAAGGAATGACAATGAAAGATGTAGGCTACAATTACCTCAGAGAACTTGTCAATAGGAGTCTAATTCAAGTGACTCAAAGTTTTTATGAAGGAATCCCCGACACTTGTCGAATCCATGACTTAGTGCGAGAAGTTGTTCTTTCCAAGTCAAGGGAGCAAAATATGATCACAATTACTACTGGACAATACACAAAGTGGCCATCTGAGAAGGTACGCCGTTTGGTAGTCCATAGTAGCAGCAACACCACCGAGCAGCACCAAGAAAGCCAATGTTATAGCTTTAACCACCTTCGATCCTTTATTACGATTGAATCCATGAATCCACTAATATCCAGAACCTTGTTATCAGAAGTTTTAAAGAGTAGTAGATTGTTAAAGGTTTTGGATTTGAGTCATGAAAAGACATTGGAGGAACTCCCAAATGAGATTTTCAACTTGTATCGTCTCAGGTATCTGAACCTATATAGGACAGGAGTTAAAGCAGTCCCGAAATTCATAGGAAAGCTGCGAAATTTGGAGTATTTGGATTTGCGTGAAACTAAAGTCAAGGAATTACCCGTGGAAATCCTGAAGCTAAAAAAGCTTGAGCATCTTATGGTATACCAAAAAGTTGATTCTTCTGATGACAGTCAAGGATATCATGGGTTTAAAGCTCCATCAAAATTGGGAGGGCTTATTGCACTACAATCATTAGATACCATAGATGCGAGTAGCGGATCCGTAGTAGTTAAAGAGATAGGGAAATTGACTCAATTAAGACAATTAGGGATTTCAAATCTGAGAAGAGAAGATGGAAAGGTTCTCTGCTCCTCCCTTGCCACCCTCACTAGACTATGGGAATTAAACATTGCTTCAATTAGAAATGAAGCTGGTGATTATGAGGTAATGGATCTGAATCATCATGATCAACAACAACATTCTCTTTCATCTTCAATGCCTTCTTCATTTCTCCAATCTCTTCGTATGCTAGTATTGCATGGCCCCTTAGAAAAGATGCCGAAATGGATAGCTCATCTTCAAAGCTTGGTAAGAATAGATTTGAGGTGGAGCCGTTTAAGGGTTGAAGAGGATCCGCTTGAACCGCTCCACCATTTGCCAAATTTGGTTAGGATTATTTTTTGCGGATCTTACCAAGGAGAGGGGCTGTGTTTCAAGGCTGGAGGATTCCCGAAGTTAAAGGAATTGTACCTAGTGAAATTAGAGAAGTTGAAATGGCTGAAAGTGGAAGAGGGTGCGTTACCCAGTCTCCACGAACTTAGTCTGGATAGACTTCCATTGCTAGAGGAGTTGCCTTTGGGAATTCAGCACTCAAGGAATCTTCGAAAGCTGTATTTGTCTGAGTTGAGTTCTCAACTGATGGAGAAGCTAGAGAATCTAAATGAAGAGACTGAAGATTATAGAAAAATTGCACACATTTCTGAAGTTGTCATTGAATTGTGGACAGATGAGGAGGGATGGAGAAAGCACCGGCTGTGGGGGAAGATGATGTAAATATTTCCTTCCTATTTCTTTTTTTTTTTTTTTTTTTTTTTTTTTTTTGCACGTTTGTTTGTAACTTCTGAGTTTATAATTTGCTTTATCTTTTATCTTATTGCACTCTATATTTTTTGTTTTTGCTTGTTTAATTTTTTCTTTAATTGATTTAACAAATAATTTAGAGGTTGCAGGTCAGAAGTGCCTATATACAATCTAAAACAATAGCCCAAAATAATATAGCCCAAAACAACACAGAGAAATAGGAAAGCTCAGGTCTAGTAATTATAGCCTCGGATTAATAATATTGAAGTTTCAGGAAAGAATTGAGAGTACTCTAGAAACATAAAGCCTCAAACCTTGTGCGGCTATTCTTTGCCTAGCCCAAAATCAATTCATTCAATAGCGTATTAACATTTGAAAGTTGCAATGAAGTACACTCTCTGCAAAATATCAAATAACGTCTCCTTTTTTTAATGTAAGTGGGAGGGCTTGAACCCGGGATCTCTCACTTACTCTCCCCCCCCCCCCCCCCCCCCCCCCAAAAAAAAATCAAATAATGTCTCATTTCCTGTTTAATGCAGATAGTGTTGAGGCCTCTTTCAAAGCATTAAAATGGAATCAGGACCAAAGAGCACTTGTATGCCTGGGTAATCTTGCGTATGTTTCAACGCCACAGAAAAAAATGGTTGCAAGAAAATTCTCTTTTAGCATATCTATAAGGAAATCAAGGGTAGAGACATTTCAACAAACTATAGTTCCAAATAATTGGTCTTCAGGAACCCAAAGAGTTGCTCAGGACAGGGAATTAGTATAAGATTAAATCTAACTGGTGGTACCTATTCAAATTTTGTCCAATACGGTAGATGTACTCATCCTCCATTACATTAACAGAAGGTTTGTTTTCTGAATAGAAGAGAAAATGAAAAAGGTAAATAAACATTGGTAAGAATGTCACAACAGTCACGCGAACTACTCAATTAAGTGCAGATAGAAAACTACCCAACCATGTTGAGTGCAGATCGTCAATCTGTGGATAATAAAGTTGGTACCTACAACTAGAAGCTTTGATTTGGCTACAAATTCATGATATCCACACATTAGTAGCTCCACAAGTATTTGTGTCGACACAAATTGTAGGATACAATTTCTACAGCATGCCTTGCTAGTTTCTGAAAAGCCTAAGACCTACCCCTCATTCTTGAGCTATCTATGACCATCAATAGAGTTCTTCTATATAAACCACCTCATAGGTAACCAGTTTTCCACTCTGTTGTTTAACACCCTTATACAGAACTTAACCCTAAAAAGTTAGACTAACTCAAAGAAAATAGTTCTACACTATCACTGCAATTTACAATAGATAAATAAAACAGAACAGGAACGTTCCCTACCACCCCATCCCTTCTTCCACTCCACCAATACTCATCAGTTTACAACACAAATTCCTCCACCTAACCCAAAGTACAAGTTAGATCACAGGAAGGTGAGAGCAAAAAATGACCTTCAAGAGTCCAAACAAAGCCACGCTGTTTCTCATCAAAGCTAATGTCAATGGTGATTATAATAACAACAGAGGGATTGATTTGGCAATTTCTCAGTAGGCTGCTTTTGTAAAGAGCATACAATTAATCCTGGGATTCAAAAGATTTCTATTAGACTAACGCAGCATTGATGTATGAGTAGGTAAAGCAACATAACTAATGATGTTTAATTTTAAAGGAGTATTAAGAAAATTAAGAAACCTTTCACTGTGATCAACCTGAGGCATTTCGAGTGAATGAATATAGTACTGGAGACGCTTCCATAATTGGAAATATTTGACTGACAAGAGGTCCTAACTGCATCATAGCATAATACAACTTCAAAAATGAGGAATGTTACAAAAGCAATATTAGTTCTTTGAGAGGCAGTAGACAAAATTTGACACGGATTCTAAAGCAAGGGCTGAGAAACTGGAGCCCTACCAATTGAACGAGTACAGTAACAACTCATCATATAAGCATATTTACAATCAACTCCGCCTTGGTATATAAGATTTAAAATGAAATTAAGGTTCAAAAACATATGACAAAATTGATCCACCAAATCTCAAGGTATAATATTTATGCAATATCAAAATATAAATTAAACAAACTAGATAAATGTTTAGATCCAAATTTCCATATAATCCTCAATGTTGATTGGCTCCAGTTCAACCATCAACTATAATGTTGTTTACATCAATTCCCTTTTATAATGAACTAATTTGTATTCTTGAATGAATGGAAGACTGATATGACTTCACCATTTGGATGAATAATAATTGGTGAACAGTTCAGTATAAGGACAAAATTACAACAATCACAAATGAACAAAAGTGCGTTAGTTGCTGTAGAAGCCATCAGCAAGCAGAAGCATAGATGCTAAAACTCAAAGCAGAAAGATCTAGAAATGAAGTGCAAAGTCAGTAATATGCACAGACATACCATTTCCACAAATATATGCAATCTACTATGGACACTCTTTTAATTTATAAACTGCATATTACACTTTCTACTTCACATTTTTTTCCCTTTATTTTCTGAGTTGCTACGTTCAGTTACCATTTGTCCTGTTTCACTTATAAGTTTACCCATTTTCTTGCTCCCTGTAACGTCACCAATTATTTCCTTTCCAAAAAAAAAATCTTCACTTTACATCAACTTCATGGCATAGCTGAAGCAATATAAGTTACTCACAATCCACCCATTATATGAGCAAATACTATCTGAAATATTATAAAAAAATTTCTTTGTTAATTGACAGTCATAGTATGACATTGATGTGATGGCACCTTTACATTCCTTTATGCATTAGCTTTTTCATGTTTGTTTTAACATTTTACATCTTATACATATTCCAATGTAAAGGGAATAACATGACAATTAAGGAGATTTTGAGGATGATAGGCATGTGATCCGACACAATGGGTCATGTATACATCTTTCGACAACTAAGATGTTATCATCCATAGGATTATTGAAGGATTAGTAGAATTGCACTTGAAAAAGGTAATAAACTCATGCCATGGCTCGATAATGAAAGCAATCTTAGTAGCTAAAGAGCCCTTCATCCACCAAGTATGCTCTCACAAATGGCAGTAGCTGGATAAATGTCAAATATCTACAGGACATGACTTTTACTTCACTGGTGGGGGAGGGCTTAGAGTGCAACGCTTCAGCAACATCTACACTCACAAATCATAGAGTTCCTTGTTCATGAACTCAGACAAAATACATCAGTCAGTTGCATCGCTATCATAGATCCTCAATAGAAACCACGATTCTTTTAAATTTACCCTATATATATATTGGTTTGAAGATTTAGAGAGGCAATGAAAGAATAGGCTGTTTGCCTGGTGAAATTTGAGCTGAAATTAGATTTAAGAAGTAGAGGTTAAATAGAGATTAGGAGAGGTAAAGGGCAAAAGAAAGGAAGGAAGGAAAGATGACTACTAAGACTTCACAGGTAAGAGATTAAGAGGGGTTTTGTTCTGAAACTTTCTTGATTCAAACTCACTCTCATTTACAAAAACTAATGCAAGCTATTCAAAGAGTCTAAAACAGCAACCTAAAAGCTTTCTCTTGTAAAAAAAAGCAGCCGTTCAAGAGTAGAGTCTGTGGCAATTGTTGTCCACTACAATAGTAGCTATGTAGGATGACCATTGAACTCCCAACCATGGGTGTTCTTTGAAAGTCCACCCATGCCTGCCCATTGGACTTCCAATCATGCTTTACCCTTAGACTTCCACTACTAGTTTCAAGTACAGTATCATTATCAGGCAGCCAACTACTTGCCAACAAAAGTTACAGCAACAAGCTCAACAGTTGCACACAGAAAATTGGCAAATGAACCACAATCTGAATCTTAAATCAAATCCAGAGCTAAAAGATTGTGAAACTGAAGTTTTTTTTCCTTCGATATATTGATGTCTTTCATGTCTTGCGTCACACTAGCTAAGCCGTGGCTACAATTATTTGATCCACCCTAGAGCACCATTACCTGTTACCTGCTTGGCATAGTATGCAGCAGCTCTTATGTCACATGGTCGGAACTAAGAGGGAAACAAAATGCCCTATATACAAATCGAAAAGGATGATTTTACAAACTAATCTTATTATCCATAGTAAAAATGATATATATGAAAGAATACCCAAATCTAAGCAAATTTGTCAGATAGCACTGAAATGAATCAATTTGCAGGATTCAACTAGGGTGCAGGTGCAACACCAACTTCTACACTCACGAGTTGCTGCCATCCTGTGCATGAACTCATACAGACTATTTCAGCAAGTGGCATAACACAGATGCATCCTGATTCACTAAACATTGTTTTGAACTATTCATTCTACCCATAGAAGTCCATTCCCAGCTTCACATATTACATAACAGCTCTTTAGTCATTATGAGCCAGCCAGGAAGAATTGTAATCCCCAAAGGTTTTTGGGCTCTTGAAGGGTGGCCTTCAAGAGTTCATGGCCACAACTGTATAAGAAAAGGAAATCCCCATCCATGTTCCTTGGAAGCCAGTAAAAGCCAGAACTAGGAAAATGAAAGAAACTAAAGCAGAAACTGCAAATTTTTCCTTCCTCAGGAGCATTGCATGAATAGCCCAATTTATGGCAGTTAGAGATGAAGGGGGCAAAAAGGGCAATTTTCTTTCTTTTTTGTGTGAAGGAATAAGGGTAAGTACTGTAAATACTTAAATAAAGAAAGACCTTTAGCGTTGAAATAAATAAAAAATTAGCAAACATCCAATTTAATAAAGATTAATTGCTCAACTTCAACAGCAAAAAAGGTTAAAAGCCACCTTTTTTTTATTTTTGGATAATCAGGATAACAGCTAAGCCCCTTAAATTAGCATTGGAACAGAATTACCTGCTCAAAGTATGGTACTGCCTCCGACGCTGGCCTGTTGTTGTATGATATTATTGCATTTGCCTTCATTGAGAGACAAGTATAACATTCATTAAGTCAAAAAGTACTAAACACTGAACTATGGTGCATTTTCACACATTAAAGCTGCAAAAGCATAACTTTTTAGTTATATTTTTCTTATCTTAATTAAGTTCAATTTTGGTTAAGCACTTATGAAACTTTGGAAGAAAGAAGGAACCTTGGGTATCTTCTCACAAAAAAAACTTCCAGTAAGCACTTGTAGAAGTGCACCATTGCTGCATTATAGTTAAACCAAATAACATCAAAGATAGTTTCGTGATATGATTGAAATAAAAGTTAGATAAATTACATAGCATTTTAGGCATGGTTATCTATAACGGAGTCTCATCGGAATGAAACTTAGGAGTACTAGCGAGGTTTTTAACCTTGAAGTGTTCTTCATCACCCTCACCATTTCAAATTAAACGTTCCCAGCATTTTGTTAATTCAATCAGTCACAAGTTCCTCCAATCTACCCAAGCTTAACTCGATCATCTTACGTTCAAAAAACAATTCATTGGAAAACTATCCCATGTTCAGCTCCAAAACAGCTTTACTGAACCTCTACTATGATAAAATGAATGTTGCTCTGAAGGTTAGCAGCTCCAATACACATTGATGTAAAGATTCCTCAAGAAAAAAAGAGGACATGCCTAACATCCTCGGGACAAAGTATATCATTGAACATACAAACTAACGTTAGACAACACAATTAAGGCTTTATGAAGTTTAATTTGTGATCATTAATGCTCAATTAACCTCCACTCACCTATGGCCAACCGAGTAAAGTGGAAGATCAACAATATCATCAGGTGAAAGGCCATATTCTGGCAATTCAGACCCCAAAATCAAATCAAAGCCAGCACGAAACCTCTCATAAATCTCCCTAATTACTTTTTCATGATCAAACGTCACGTTATATGGCACCGAGATAATGAAATAGCCTTCATTTGCCAGTTGCTCAAGCAAATAGCTGCCACCACAACAAAAACAACTAATCAAACAAAACAGATCATAAGACTCTATTAGCATTTTAGTTTACAGTAGAAAAAATTGAATTAACAACCCTCTGTTCTGTAGTAAACATCACCAGCGCAATGTCATCACAGTTTGAATTTCAATCAAGTAGACCTTGTTTTTCCAGCAAAATGTTTCCTTCCTCTTTTCCCGATTTAAAAAAAAATTACTTTAACCACAGGAAAAAATTTCTGTGTTTCAAGAATTAATCCAAGGATTAATCTAATATAGTGTGTTAAAACTGTAGTTGGACAAGCAAGTTGCCACATATATTAATCCAGAAATTAAATTAAAATGTTCCATCCCAGAAATCTAACAGCACTTCATCAAAATAGCAAAAAAAAAAAAAAAGACATGAAAATTATCAACTATAATAGTCAAGTTTGAAACAGAGTAAATTGTTGATTGACCTGTAAGTAACTTCAGGGACAGCTCCAACAAAAGCACCTCCCAAAAATTTAATAATGGCTTTGGGTTTTTTCCCTCTTGGAGGAGGAATGACCAAACAAGACTCAAGCCTGTCGTAAATTCTACCATTATGATTCACAAAAGAAGTGTTCTTGAAGCTATTGGGTTTAACCATTTTCATTTGGGTCCTGCAAATTGTCATTTTTGAGGGTCTTGCGCAATTCTCAGTGGGGAAAACCCCTCTGGAGAGATAATTGAGAAAAGGGCTTTCTTTAAATTTGTTGATTCTTGGAATTTGTTGAGAATAGAAGTGGTGCTAGCCACGGCGGCCATGGCCGGCCTTCTTCACTCGGAGGTTCTAGTTGGGTGTTGGGAGGGGAAATTTGGAGCTAAAATTGTGAAGCGCGGGAGGCAGTACGTGGCATTTTAATTGCGCCTCCTTTGTGTCCGCTACATTTCCTATTTAGATTTGGAGTCTCCATTTTAGTGGATTTTGTGCATTTGTTTGGTGATAATTGAGTAATTGTCTAATTTCTCCTTTTTTTTTTTGGCCTTACATGCAATTTGTGTCTTTGAGTCTTTTTTTTTTTTGGTCAAAAATCATTAGTATTGTATTAGTGTAGTAATCATTTATGTATGCATGTACAATTAAGAGACTACTGATTGTAAAATTAGATGTGTCTCTATTTTAAGATGCACACGAATTATACTTCACATTTAAGTTTGGATAAATTATCTTTTTATTCTCCAGTGGTTTGATACTTTATCAGATAATACCTCTATGGTTTAATAATCTATGTATAAGTGTTAATAAGTTATGACAAAAATAAGTTTCAATCAATTAGTAATATTAAAAAAAGTACAAAGTAAACAATATTTTTAGCTAATCTATTTAAATGTATAATTTATTATCTAAAATTCACAATACAAGCAATATAAAATATTACTCTATTTATGATGTGTTTCCAAGGAACTTAAGGAGTGAGTGTGTGTTTGTGTGTGTGAAAATATATTTATGTATGTGAAAATGTGTTTATATATGTGAAAAAAAAATTTGTGTGTTAAAATGTATGTGGAAAAGTTTATGTATTAAAATGTATTAATTAATTTGTTGGGTCATATTTGGGTCATGGGTTTGAGATAATCCAATATGACCCAACCCAAAATCAATCCAATTTAAAGTTGGACGGGTTGGGTATAACCCATTTAAGTGAAAACCCAATATTAACCCGCCCAAAACCCGTCCAATCCGCCCAAATTGCCAGGTATATAAAACCTCTTCATGGTTTGGGTTAAAATATCACCTTTAATTTTTCCATTAAAACTAACGATCAATAGTAAAAAGTCAAAATCAAACTAATAAATTGACAAACTTATGCTTTTATTATTTCTTTTTTCCCTCCAAATGTAAAAAAGAAGAAATTGAAATAAAAACTACATAAATAAGAACTAGAAAATACCATTAAAATTTTGATTTAAAAACCTATAATGATATTTGTAGTAAAAAAATTGGTATTTTTGTTTCTTATTTATTTGTTTTATATTTCGCTTCCATCTTTTTTTATTCTTATTTATTTATTTATTTCCCTTCCATTTGTTTTGTAATTGGGGAAAGTTAATATTTTGTATTTTAAATTATAGGTGACAGGTGTCGAGCTTGTGCAATAATAATTACTAAAAAGTCCTAGTTACCACTACAATTAATTATAAAACAAATCCAAGTACTGGAGCAGGGATCTTAGGTGTGCAATGAATTACTTGATTCATCCTGTTCCCGAAGAGTGTGCTTAATCCGATATGCCAGAATTGTCTATAAAAATATTAAATTTGCATACATGGCAAGTAGGGTCGACTCCACAGGGAGCGGGTAGGAAGTTGTTTCTTTCCAAATCAATAGAACAAAATTGGGGGATATTTGAGGAAATGAAAATGAAAATAAAATAAACAAAATTCAAAAGCTAACTCACCAAGCACAATTTACTAAAAATAGCAATTAATAAAACTCTACCCAAAGGATCAATTTTTCAAGTACGGTTCAGTTAAATGATTATCGATGCAAAAATATTTCATTCATTCGTCACTAGGTTGGTTATAGCCATCAACAAGTTCTGACAGCCAATTCTTCCTTACTTTTTCGACAATCAAGGTACGACCATTGACTGCTTCTCTAATCAGAAAACAACCCTAGGTACGACCGTATGAATTTAATTATCCTGTTGCATTAAAGTTAGACGAACTCAACCCTAACCAATAAACACGCTAAGAGGGTTTATTTAAATTAGATCTTACGTTTCCCCAACATAAAGTCAACTATGGTGGTTATCACTAATTATCAACTAAGCGAACAATTACGGACAATTTAGTCAATCGTGATAGTAGGCTATTAGATTAAATAAAATATCCGGCTATTGATACTCAATTAATAAAACAACCATGAACAATTAATCTAGGAAACGCACGAATAGTAACAAATTGGAAGAAATAGTGAAAGTTCGATTAGATCTCACAGATGTTATGGACCGCGCCTTCGCGTCGATCTTTGGGTAGAGGAGAAATCTAGCCGCTCCTCATCATATCGATCTCGCGTGGTTTAATTAATTCCATCCACACAATTACCAAAGAATTGAAAAAGATGAAATAAATGAAGAGGCAAACGAAAAGTCTTCGTCCTTTTTTGTTTCGTGTTCGTACTGAAGAAAAGTAACAGCAAAGTCTAAAGAAGAAGTCGTACGACACAAAAAAGCAAAAGCCGAAAACCAAATCGTCTCCCAGGGGTAGCGAAAGGAAAGCTACCCTAAAATTGTACAGAACCAAAGCAAAAGTAAAACAATTTTACGTCTGACAGCCAAGGAAAAGAAACTAAAAGCTAAATCTCCTGATTACAAATAATTCTGGCTTTTTTGAGCCTTTTGTAGCCGCCGCTAGTAGAAGCAAAGAAACGTCCAGGAGCAAGACTTTGTCTAGGGATTTTAATCCCATGCATCTCCGTGGTTCACGTGGACCTGATTTTTTGATTGGCCCTGCTGCTACCAATCTCGTGGGTCCGCTTTTGGGTATCCTTCTACAGTTTCTGACGTGGGCACGTCCTGAGATGAAATGTCTTTTGGAAATTCTCCCCAAGATACCACTTTTAACACCAATCACCTGCAATTTATACAAACATCAAATATGAGCAAAATCTCTATATTTCGCACAGTAAGTAACCAAAATTATGATCAAATAATATCACAAAATAGTGCCCAACAATTGCTCTATCAAATCCCCCCACACCTAGACAATGCTTGCGCTCAAGCATTTCGAAACTCAGAAGCACAATCAAGATAGCAACGATTTCATAGTCATCTATACTAACACAAATATCCCGCATTCCCGACAATATCGCCAAAATTAGAACATACCAGACAGGTGGTTATTTAAAGAATATGAACAGTATTACACGTCACTTTCAAGAAAATGTATAACTACTAGGAACGCTGAAATCAACATCACGGGATGACATTACCATAGACTTGCACATTTATCACATCTCTACCACTAAAAAGTGAACTAAATACACAAATCAAAGGGACTTTAATAGGGTTGTAATGGGGTTTAGGTAAAAGGCGGGATAAGAAGGTAAAGACAGGGGGTAATGTGTCAAGAGAATGTTCAATATCCACTACATAATCACAACGCTTTCCGGAGAAATTTCACAAGCAAGGCGTTTCCATTTTCTATTCCACTGTGCAAGTGTCAAAACTCTCTCTCTTTTTTTTTTTTTGAAGAACGTCTTGCAAGGCGCGGGCACGCCCTATAAGACAGAGTCTTCTGTTCACCAGCTTGTCGATAGTTTTTTTTTTCCCGATCTCAGATGCACAAAACTGGCACCATACAACTTCTATTCCGACAACACTTGCGACCCTAGATTTATTTGTCTTGCACAAGCAATGAAATTCAGACATCTCTTAACGACATAAAGTTGAATAAGAAAGTCTAAAAAGGTCCTGAGTTATCAAATACGACTAACACACAAAAGAGAAGGATAAAAACTCAAATCGGTTCACTATTGGGAGACAAGATGAAGGCGTGGTTTGTAGAAAGTTAAAGAAGGTTAAATCCTAGCGAGAATTGTATTTTTGATCCCCAATCTATAGTGTATGCCCTTATTGAGTCCCCAATCTATTTCGAAAATCAATTTTGGTCCCTAATCTATTCAATTTTACGCTAAAAGTGGACAATTAACGGAATTTGTTCAATTTCAACCGGAACCATGTCACGTGAGATCACGTGCCGGCACTAAAACCCCCTTTTCAATTTTTTTTTTAATTTTTGAAACACCTTTTTTAATATTTTCAGCTCTGTCTTGCCTTTGGACATATTAAACAAAGACATTAATAGCTAAAATTCTCTAATTAAGGATTGGAGCCCATAAAAAAGGTTGAATATCAGACAGAGAAAAAGAAGCTGTCGTCCACTACTTCCTTCTTTCCTCATCTTCTTTCTTCCAACTCAAGAAGAAACCCTAGGAGCTTCAATCCCATTCTAATCAGACAAAACCATTTTCACGTTATTGTGACAAAAAGTTGCAAGATCTGGGCAAAAACCTTTGTATCAAGCTTATTCTATTTTCAATTTAGCTCCTCATGGAACCAATGAAAAATTGTGACTGCAAACAGCGAGCAATAATGGTTACTTCTTGGACAGACAACAATCCTGAGAGAAGATATTTCACTTGTGCAATGAAGAAGGTATGATTATCTCTATTTCTAATTTCGAGATTTCTGTCTCTATTTCTGAGTTTTGTGCTAAAGCTTTATGATGTTGGCTGTGAAGGGTGACAGAGGAAAAGGATGCGATTATTTTGAATGGCATGATCCGAAAATGTGTAGAAGGTCAACAGCCCTGATTCCTGGACTACTACATATCATGAACTCTAAGAATGCTATAATTGAGAGGCTAAGAGAAAGAGAAAGAAAATTACTGGTAGCAATTTTGTTGTTGCTACTTCTGTTGGTTATTGTGTTATTGGTGTAAAACTCACGAAGGTTGGATAGTCTTGGTATCAACTAAGCAGCTCAAGGAAAATTTGTTAAGTATTAAGCTAAGCTAGTTACTGTCTGAACTTAGAGATGAAAGACATTCATCCAGATTGTAATTTTGATTTTTTTTGTTGGAATGGGTGAATGTGTAAGTTAGAATGTACTATCAGGCTAATACATTCTGTTTATTGAATGAATGCATATATTGGATGTTCCAATCTGCTTTTAATTAGTTGTTTTTAAAGTTCATTTACAATTTAACTAGAGGTTGAGTTCTCCTTGAAAAATGAATTAAATTTAAGAAACACCACAAAACAGAATGAAAACTTGAATGAAAGCAAAATATAAAGAAACACCAGAAAACGGAATGAAGTAAATTCACTACAATCCCTGCCTAGAATCCTATATAAAAGTTGAAGG